ACAAGATTGACTGTGATAGTAAGCGACAGAGGCTTTCTCACCAAACAAAACCTTATTCGTCTCCCAGGAATCCCAGGCTGCGGTTTCGTGGCAAGTTCTCATGGCCGATTCGATCTTTACTGCGTCCGATGACGAAGGCCCGCGTGACGGGTCTGGCGATCATGGTGTAGCAAGACGCGTCAACAAGTATACGGTATTGAAGCTTCATTAAAGCCCAGCGGGGGGTCATTTGGAACCACTCGATCGGAAGTCCCGAAATGTACAGTCCTGAACAGGTAGAGAGTGGGACGTGCTTCAGTGTCGCTTGCGGGACGGAAGCCATTCAGGGTCTTCGTCAAAGGACCCCTTAGCGAGGCAAGGCAGGATCAGTAACCGGGCAACTCCACGCAGCCTGACGGTGTGGCTTGTGGCTGATGAAGATCTTTGGCGCCGTCCCTTAGTGAGAGTGAAGGATGGCTGAGGCTGGGGATCTTGGGATGCTTTGTTGGTGAGGACGTGTGTAGCTTCGCGTATTGGGTCGGACAACGGATGGAGGAGTGCCGTCCCACTCAATCCGGGGAGCAGGCTCCTAGTTGCTCGTTGTATCCTTTTAATGCCCGGATTCGGCCTCAGTACTTCGAATGATCGACATCCAAGTGGCAGAAAACATATGTCGCCAGTTAAATTGAAGGACATAGCGAATTGTATATCTAGATGCCTGTGCGATGCCCATGTTTCACAGACGTACCGTCCCACAAACAAGTCCTGGTCTAGTGCCTGTTTTCATATGGATCGAAGCTCTTTAGATAGGTGGTGATCATTTTATGTACTGAGGCCAAATCTGGGCACTAAAGGGATGACATGAATCGACTCCAACAGAGATCAAAGGATCACGGGAATCAGATGTCTGCTTTCTGGACACCGTTGATAAATCGGCGGTAGCTTCAATAGCTGGGACTCTCGCCAGCGCCTGTGAGATTACGGTTGTGGGCGAGCTTCGATTTGTTCCGAGCATGAAACTGTTAGAAAAGACAGAGTTTCAAGGTGGACTTTAAAACTACCCATAGTCGTTCCGCCGTCTAGCTCCCGACCTCATCTCCGAGGGGTCAAGGTTCTCCTTGATGTGGTTTTTCTTCGGGATTAATGCATACCTATCCATCTTCGTCCATCAGATGGGCGGCTCAGTGCAACATGGGATTGGGACATAGACAACTGCTTCTCATGTTGGTTCGCATGACGCTATTGATCAAAAAGTCGAAATCCACAGTATCATATCTTGGTATCCAACTCATCAACGCCTCCAGGGCGGCAGACGGGAGAGATATCAGCCATGCCAGTTTCATGGCCCACGTTGCTTCGAGCCTGACGCATCCGGTTATTTTCTCTCGCGTAATAGCCGCAAACATCATGGATTGGCTACTTTTCTTGTTGCTATCTACCTGGAATCTTGACGCACAGAATCAGACTGTTAAACCTGGTGCACTAACCCGTGGCTCGAAGGAACTGACAAACCGGCAAATCCCAGGGCCCCCACCACAGGCTGGAGGCTTCCATTGCCACAACGAACAATCAATCGCTTCATGATCCGAAAACCTATTGCTAGTTCCGTTCCCATCTCTCTTCGGAAATACCGACGACCCCTTTCAAGCTTCACCTTCACGTGGGTATGGCATCGGTGCATTCTCAATGGCTGTCAGGTGAGCAAGCCGTTCAGCCAGGTACCTACCTAGCGGACGGCAAGCACGGACACACCCCGCACTATATCTTGGTGGTACCTTGTGGCTAGAGAAGTGAGCCCCACGTGAGCTTCCCCCCCCCTCCAGAGCTGAGAATCACGACTCAGCCTCCTCGTTTTTGACCAGTGCACGTAACCTGGAGCCTGGCTGCAGATGTCAGGCCCTCGAAGGCCCAAGTTCCAACCTCGCATTCAAGGCGAGCGGCGGCCTCTTGGGGGCGAAATACCTAAGACTCATTCCCGCCATCTCATTCATCCACCCACTTGCCTTGTCATGCCCATGCTTGTTTCCAGCTGAACGCCTCTTCGGCTCTCATGATTCGCCAAGTTGCACGAAACGCCCCATCAGAGACACGATCCCGCGTGCTGAGGGCCAATAGGTTGGCCGAAGCCTCCTCGTTGGACAAGCTGGAGCAGCACCCTTCCCCTCTATCAGATCTCTATTGCACAGGGCCACTGGCCTCCGCACCTATCACGCCTATCACGTCCTCCTCGTGATCCCACAAACGGACTCTGCCTCTCGCCGCCCACACTCGGTCATCCAGGCGGGAGGAGACGAGAGAAGAAAACAGAGAGACGGGCAGAGACAAGACATACCGTCAGACAATCGAGGGGAGAGTTACGAAGGACAACACAAATCGTAGGTGATCCCTAGGCCCCCTTGACTCCCAACTCCCAACTTCTATTTGGTGACTGATGCCCGATTGCTTGCACCTTTGGCTGCTTGCCTGGTCTCTCTTGCATGCTGCATGCTGCCATAGCATCTACTGACGATACAAATCCCAGGGCGTACGATATCGGCCTGTCACCCCGCCCTGTATTGCGTCCCAGTCATGCAGCTTGTCCTTGACGCCCAATCACCGAACCACATGCATTGCCGCCCGCCAGTCACGACTCTCCAGCTGTTCGATTCTCCTCAGAGTGCCGCATCTCTTGGACGACCAAGATTCGTTCGCCGTTTCTGCACTCGAGGCATCTCGCATGCTAATGGCCTACTATCATTATGGCGAGGAGTCGGACAGAAGGCCTGGTCGAAGCCGACACGCGCACCCGACACCCCATGTCGATTGGCTCGAAACCGGCGATACGGTGCATGATTCGCTGCCTCGCCGAACGAGGAGAGGCCATATCATACAATATGCAGACGAACCGCCTTCGTCCATGCGACGGAGTCAAACCACCTGGAGCGAGAGGAGCTCGCCTGCGCAAGTCGCGACGATGCCGCTTCGCACGAGAGCCGCCACCGTTACCACAATGACCATGCCTGTTGGCAGAGGCGTAGACCATCACCGCCATCAACCTCACCATCACCGTGCTTCGAGACATTACGAAGACGAGGACGAGGAGGATGATGTCGAGGACGAGGACGAGGACGAGGACGGGGACGAGTCGCCTGCGGGCAGTCGGCGCGACCTCAGACGCGGCATGAGCCCACGTTCCGTTCGTCACTACAGGTCAACCCCGGAGTCGAGAAAAGACTCTCGGCCTTCCCAACCCGACTCTGACGGGGAGTCTGATACTACCGTGTCGACGGAAGACATAAGGCACCAAGACTTAGAGAAACATGGGCAGCTTCAAAGACGCGCCCGGCACCCTGAACCAGACGACTATCTCGACCACCGTGAAGAGGATCGGCGTTGGAGACGCCGGCAGCGACGTGGTACTGTTGTTTACGATACCCAAGACGAAGATCCGACCCCCCACCAATCTGCAATAGATCACAAGTCTCCCATCCGACATCTGTCCCGGCACTCATCCCGGCGATCGGCAGACTTGGTTGAGTCTGGTAGCTCCGTCCGACGAGGTTACCACAGTCGTAGCCAGAGCCTCCTCGAGGCCCCTACCCCGCCTCGTTCTTCTGTCAGGTGTGTTTTGCGTTGATACTGATGCTATGGGCCGCGCTAATCAACCAGCAGCCGGCCACGTAGGAGACGCCATTCTCAGGTCATCTACACAGAGATTGTACCACCCACATTGCGCCGGGCGCACACAGCGTCTGAAACGCATGTCACATCGCACAGCACGACATCCTCCAACCGGCGGCATTCCGTTCTCGGTGCCTTCCTCGGGCCTGGCATGCAGGGGCAAGGGTCAGACAGACGAGTCAAGCAGTAAGCATAGGCACGGTCCGGAGCAGGCTACGGTAGCAGGACTGACCATGTGCAGAGTGCAGTGTCTCGCTTGTATGGACGAGCTCCCAGCAGACAAGGTTGCGAAGCTCAAGTGTGGCCATCGTATGTGCAGCTCGTGCCTGAAAAGGAAATTCAAGATGTCCATCAAGGATCCCGTGGAGATGCCGCCGAAATGCTGTGCTGAGCATATACCTCTCAAGCATGTCGAGAGGCTACTTTCGACCGATTTCAAGAAGACGTGGAACAGAAAATTCGCCGAGTTCTCGACACGAAATCGCGTCTACTGCCCGGCGAAACGATGCGGAGAGTGGATCAAGCCAGCAAATATTCACCGCGAGGACGGCCGCAAGTGTGGCAAATGCAGCCGGTGCAAGCTCAAGGTGTGCTGCGCCTGCAATGGCAAATGGCATGGGTCTCGGGAATGCCCAAGGGACGAGGAGACCACAATATTCCTACAGCAAGCCAAGGACGCAGGGTGGCAGCGATGCCACAGGTGCAAGGCCATAGTCGAGTTGAAGGAGGGATGCAACCACATGACCTGGTGAGTTCCTCGACGGTATTCGATGCAAACATAGTACTGACTGGAAGCACAGTCGCTGCGGAGCCGAATTTTGCATGATTTGCGGACTGAAGTGGAAATCGTGTGACTGTCCCTGGTTTAACCACGACACGCCGGAGGACGATCGTCTCGAGGATATGCATATTCCCATGTCACTGGGCAGGGACAGGCTTGGGCGGGCAGACGGCAGCCCTCCTGGTCGAGGGACAATTCACCCTGTGCCCGACCTGACGGCGCCCATGTCGATGAGACCGCGAGTGCCAGATGCCTACGAGGGTCCGTCGCACGATCCCCTCATGAGAAGGCTCCAAGAGAGGCAGGAGAGCAATCTCGCGCGGCGTTTGCACGTTCGTGACGACGATGGCGGTGACATGTCTGCGCACCACAGGGGTGATGATCATCGGAGAAGGCCGCATCTGGTCCCCGTCCCAGTCCCGACGGCGCCAGCGGCACCTCCCGTGGGATTCGAAAGACCGGGTGTCGCTGGAGAGTATGTATCGGGTGTCAACAGAGCCCGAGGAGTTCGACAGGACTCAGTGGAACGACGTCTCGCAGATCGTCTATCGGAGTTTCGGACGAGTCCTGGGTCGAGGCCTGGGAA